TGGATCTGGTGTTCTGAACTCTCCTTTAATTCATTCAAATGATTAGTAATCTGTACAGCCCTCTAAATTGGTTCTAGCTCTTACCACACATAGGCTATCTGTTCTATCAGCAATGGAAAGACACTTCCGCTCTCTATGTCCTGACATAGCCACAAAACCATTCTCCTCAACAAGTATGAGCCACTTGACTGGCAGTGCTGGGTTGTGTGCCGATCACAATCTGCAAGAAGCACGTTATGGTAGTTCATGTGAATATACGGTAACAGAGATTCCAAAGGTTCTCTTCCTCTGTTTAGTTTCAGGTGTATGATTGTTCCTAAATTGAGTATTCTAGTATATAGCATTAATTAGCTACTGATTGTAAAGCATGAAAAATACCTTTAAACATACTACTTGCCGGTGACATCTCTGACTCTTCTGGTAACTATTCCACCAAAGCTGTCATTGCTGAATACTTCCCTAAATATGCTCCCTAGACAGGTTTATCATATTTGTGATATAAACATGGCAATTGTCTGTTAGAAATGAGGTCTATGAAACCCATCTGGCATGGAGGATAGAGAAGAAGTTGCTGGTGATCAGACCATGCCTTCACAGAGAAGTGCTGGAGCTTGCCTGTTACTTGTTTTTTCAGGCTCAAGGCTGGTGCATCCATCTTCCACCGCTAATAAAAACAGTGAGCAGCTGTGTGTGTGTCTGAGGCTTGCTCTGACCCATGCTGGCTGCTTGTCATCTCTCAATAAACTAATCACCATCCAGTGATTAGGATACAGCCACATCCCCTGCATTCGTGACAAGTGGGGAGGTGCCAACAACTGTGTTAGATTTTACCCGTTCCTGCATTCTGCTTGCCACCACCGTGGTAGGAGGAGGTAGCAGCCAGCCACTTCACAGCATGCTCTGGATCACTGGTAGGGCATTGCCAAGCTAAAGGCTCCTAGCACAGGCATTTGCTCAGGTGCCTTCATGACAGGCCCTGTAAAAAAGGCTTAGCTCTGCTGGCGGGAGGGAGGCCATCTGTCTGCATCCCACGCACAAACGCAGTATTTCTCATGCTGATCAAGGAGAGCAAACAGATGGCGCTTGGCAGCATGAAACTGATCCTGAAAATTAAAGCAGCTAGTAGTAAACAGCACAGGGCTTGTTTTTTGCAGGAGCTGAAGGAGGGGTGGGAGGGGAGTAGGGACCATTGCTGAGGGTGTGGGACAAGGTGAGGAGTGTCTGGTCCTGCAGGGTGATGAATGACATCAGGGGAAGAGGCTGCCATGTGTGAGTGCTATCACAGCAGTTGGTTGGCTGCCCTGTTTCCCAGACCTCTGTGGCATCCTCGTTCCCACCCTACCCATCCTGTTTGCTCATTGCTCACACTGACTCTACTTGTCTTTCTTCTCCCACAGGCCAGGGAAGGAGAAGTAGCCATTATAGATAAGGTTCTGGATAATCCAGGCTTGACGTCTAGAGACTTTCAAGAATGGAAACAAATATACCTTGACATCTTTTTGGACATCTGTCAGAACAGCACCCCGAGGGGCTCTGTTAATGGCTCATCTGAGGTCGACGCACTTCTAGCTTCCTTAGCACACACGCACTCCTACATTGAAACACATGTATAAGGGGTCCTCTTCTACTCCATTTGCTACACTTCAAGCCTTTACATAAGTGCATAAATTAGGTTTTATATCAATATGTGGAACTTCTAGTAAATTATCTTTTAATGTCACTCAGCCGTGTGATGTACACCTTCAGTGGTCAATGATACCATGTCTTTAATGAGGATTTGTGTGTTTTATACACTACCAGTGCTACCAACTTGTGTTTACTTTCTGTAAAAATAATATGATCTTTAACTATTAGATAGAAGTATTTAAAAATGTTTTTGGAAGACTGTGGCCTTCACAGAGGAAGTTCCACAGGCTAAAGGTTTTGTTATTGAAGGTTGCTTTTACAATGATATTTTTTATTACGTAATTCCAGTATTATATTGCATTTTTGGAGTGCAGGTACTATTTTGGTGGCAGGGGAATAAAAGAAAAATTATATTTAATGAGAAACTCTAGGAGTTTTCTTACATAACAGGGAAAAAGTGTAATGCAGTGACTGTGTTTCCAATTTTGTTGAACACAAAAGGGCTAAAATCAGCCCACTATAATGACTAATGTGAATTTAAGTATTAAACATTTGGGTTTTATTTCCTTGTACTTTTTTAAAGCCTGTTGCTAAGGTTTACCATCAGTGCAAAGAGATACTGGTCTGTATTCTAATTAAAACAAAATTATGTGTTACTTGTCTCTACTTAAATCACATTTGGTTGATTCAATTTTTTAAACAAAAATTAGTCGTGGTACTGTCATTTATGCTGCTTTTGTACTGAAGGGATCAGATTTTGCAAACGAGAAAGAGTAGACTTTGAACATCCTTGATAACTGCATTTCTATTGCCAAGAAAAGCAGCAGCGGAAAAGGTTCCCAACAAAATGCTCCCAACCTGAGAGGCTTTGAAAATTCCCACAATAGAAAAGGAGTGAAATTTGGCCATATTGTACTCGGGAAAATAATATGATAGGAACAGAGCTGAGCACAGAACCTGAGAAAACTGAGAGCTCGGAAAGTCTCTGCTCTGCCTCTGAATGTCTCTGGTTTCTGCTGAGTTCACAAGCCAACAGAAGGGTTTTAAACTTCCCTGAGAGCTGAGATGTGCTGCAGAGTGCACAGTGAATATAAGCAGAAATATCTCCTTAGATTTAGGCACCTGTCTGGAATAGGGAAGAGAGAGGTAAAATATCTATTTACTCTTTATGGTCTTGTTCTCAAAAAGTGATCAGAGCATGACAAAGCATTTGTGCTGCTTTTCAGTGTTTTGCTGCATAAGTTAGGATTCGAGACATAGCTTACTAATGCTCATGCGAGAGGGCACAGCCTCTTTTATTCTTTCTATAGTGAGTTGTACGTTTAGCCAACCTTTGCTTATTGCCTGTACAGCTCAGTGAATGTACTTCAAACTTCATGAGCTCTGGTATTTCCTGGCAGTTGTATTCATGACGAGATGAAGGAAAGAACAGATTTATTTATTTGTTCTCTCTCTTTTTTTCTTTCTTGTTAGTTTATTTGCATTTATTCCTTTATTTTTCTCTCTTTCTTCCTTGTTACCCTATTGCATTCAGATTGCAAATGTTTTGCAGATTTTGCACAATTGTACAGAAGAGTGGCCTTTCTGTAGCCCATTTTCAGTAATCCTATATATTCAAGTCAATATGGATCATATATTAACAACATTTGTATAGAATTCTGGATCCAGTGTAATATTTGTACCATTTAGAAGAATATTGTTTGTATAAACTGAACATTTATTTACTGCATGTACTGACTTGTATATTAAATTTGTGAGGTTTTTGTACATTTCTCTTAAAAAATGCTTGACTTGAAATGGTTTGTGCTATTGTTCCAAGCATTTAGATTCTCTTGCTACTGTTTTACTGGACCAAAAGTAAATATATTCATATAAAACCTCTTTATATCTGATGGATGTATATGCACATTGTGTAGTTGATTCCTTGTCAAAACCAAGGCAGTTCAGAAGATTTAGATCTGTTGCTATGCAACAGCTATTCTGCCTGCACTTTACATTAGTAAAGTCAGCTTGATTGCTTTAAAGGTGAAAATTAAACATTGCAGTTTTTTAAGCTAGTCTAGTGACAAAGAACATGTGTCCTATCCATTGTGCTGCCTTCTTTTAAGACTATTAAATGTTCTTCTATATATATTTTTATTGTATTAACTCTCAACCTAGGAAAGGAACACTGTAAAATGAAGTACAATAAATTTAGCTTTTAAATGAACATCTCTGATTTGAGTTTGAGTTTACTGTGTACAAAAACAGTGGCATCTGACCACTTTACCCGCATTTCGCAGATCAGCGTGCCTTCAAGTTCTTTGGCAATTGGGCAGTGTCTGCAAACTCACGGCCAAAAAGAAGTAGAACCGTTGCCGGTTGGTTTGCAGGCTGTCGGCAGACTCAGAATGAAGTCTGCTGGAAGCATTCCGTTGCGTTCCTTCCCTCTGCACTCTTTGGTGAAAGTAAACCTGTTTGCTGGGTTCTCTCGTGCTCAGTAATGAACAGTTTTACCATTATGATTAGGTATGATAAAACGATGTATGCTGTTGAGGTAAGTATCAGGGCATTAGGTGCAGCAACTCCTGAAACACATGCCATAGGGTCTTGCAGTACCTACATCAATTCAGCTCTGGCCATCTAAACTAACATAAGGGTTGGATATATGAGAAATGTACTGTACCAGTAGTGTTTCTTCAGAATAATACAAAATAATCATCTGAAAGGCATGCTACAACAAAGGCTGCTCAAAGAGAAATGGCTTCTATGAAACAAGCACTGTTTTAGCACATGGCCACAATTGAGGCTACATTTTAAAAAATCCATGCTTTCTGTCCAGTAATTTCATGCTGTTTAGCTAAAGCACTCCTGCCTAGTATGTAGCATATTAAAATAATACCTTTCCTTGGCACTACTTGTTATTAATTCTTACAGCCGTCAATTTTCTCATCTTTATACATCTCACTTTCACTTTGCTTAGCCATACCATAGCAATTCAATAGCACTTATCAACTGGGAAAATTACCTCTGATTAAGAAAACAGAAAAGATGGATTACATTTTTTAACCTCAGAAAAAATCTGGCTTACAACAACTCTTAATTGCTGTCTAGGTATTACTCTTCAAAAAAAGTCAAGGATTATGATTCTAGCTCCTCTCCTCCACATGTGCTACTTGCTACATCTTTCCCCAGTGAGATTGGCTTTCAGATCTACAAATTGCTGCACCTTTTCCCAAGTTGCAGCCAGTCTTCCTTGCCTGTTTCCACCCAGTGTCTTGCTTATCACCGCAGAACCTCAACTCTTTTACATCCAGTGCCATCACAATTTTCTTCTTCTCCAGAGTTGCCCCACTGGCTCATCTCCCAGGGCTGTCATTCCATGATGCCTTGGCTCAGCAGTTTGGCAGCTTCTTTTTTGGGGTGTCACTGCCCTGTTCGTCATCCATCTCTGACAGCTGCAGCACCGCACACTGCAGCCCACACCAGGGCAGGGGGGCTTTGCAAATCTCCTCCCAGCTATCGTTGTCAATGTCATAGCCAACCACGTCTTGTGTGGGGACTTCCCGTGAGTCTTGCCATTTCTTTCCCCCAATGAGAAGAGCTGTTTCCTCTACTACCACCAGACCATAGCAAAATCGGTCATAGATCAGTGGCCTCAAACGAGTCCATTGGTTTTGATCAGGGTCATATCTTTCTATTTCAGAGAATGGTTCATATAAACCTAAAAATGTGAATATGGTTTCTCTGATTGTCGCCATTTGATGCCCAAACCGAGCAATGCTCATGGGAGCTTGTTTCATCCACTGCCCTTCAAGTGAGCTCAGAGAATATAAGTCCTTGCTTGTGCTGGCTGGTTCTGCATATTTGCCACCTGAGATGTATATAGTATTCTTGCAAGTGGCGCTGGCATGACCATGTATCTTGCATGGCAATTCCCTGGCCTTCGTCCATCTGTCTCTAGTGATGTTGTAGACTTCCACAGATGAATGCAGACACCCATTCTCACCCCGTCCACCAATGGCAAAAATATTGTTGCTTAAGACACAACAAGAAAATTGGCATCTCTTTTCCAACATGCCTGTGATTTGGGTCCATGTGTTAAACCTTGGATCGTAGCGATGGACCTTGTTTGTAACCGATAAGATCTTGTCACTGTTCGAGTCACTTGGAGTGCCACCTTCTATTTCTCCCCCCAAAACGTAGAGGAAGTTCCCCACCACGCACACACTGTGGTTCTGCACCCCATCACACACCTTTGTGAGAGCTTTCCATTTATGGTTGTAAACATCAAAAGCCACCACTTCAGTGATGAGACCCTCACTTACTGTCCCTCCCCCCAGAAGGATGATCCGAGTTTTCTGGTTCCTCAGTGTGGTGGACTTATCCTGCAGGATTGGCTGTCTGAAAACCAATGTATGGTAGTTTATTGCTTTAATGATCAGGCATTTGATACTTGCAGTAAGGGGCACTTCTGACTGTGTGTAAATTCTCCTCAGGTCTTCCACTGGGATGAGACCATATCTTATGTGCTCCAAAAGGCTGCTTGCATGAATCAACCTGGATTTATCCTGCTTCAGCCACAGCAGCAGAAGATCCAACAGCCTAGTTTCCTTCACCATAGGGAGATCTGGTGATTCTACCACCGCTAGCAGTGTCCTGAAATTCAGCTCGAGCAATCCTGACAAGTCCAAGTCCAACAGCTTCCAGAGGTTGTTGATAATGTATTTTTCTGCTGCAGCTAGGGCAGCTGGCAGGTAGAACCTCCTGGCAACATTGGCAGAGAAGCAGCAATTCTCCAAGGAGAGGTTGTTAACCAAGTACTGATTGCACAAGCCAATGGCATCAGTCACTTGCAAGTAGCTCGCAGCTTCCAAGGTCTCCTCCAGGCTTTCAAAGGAAAGAGGCAGCAAGGAAGTGTAAATGAAATCCAGGACATGCTGGAGACCAGTGGGTGAGACAACCTGCAGCTGAATCACACTGGCTTTAGATTCCTGTGTGTAACTTTTGAACATGGCTCGGAAATAGTCACTGGAACATGCCAACAAAGACTTGTGTGCAGGAAACTCATTTTCCTTCACTTTCAGCAAAATATCACATAGAAAGCCCTCTGATCTCAGGGTCTGGTAATGGGAGAGCACCGTGGTGCAGTGCGCTTTGCAGTAGGACAGGAAGTAGCTCATTGTAGGTAATGCAATGCTTTCTGCTTGACTAAGTTACTAAAGTAAAAATGCCATTAGACAGTGAAACAGATGCCTTAATCAACAGCCATTTGTATGAATGCCCACCAGACCTCCAGCTGCTAGAGAAAAGCCCAACCGAAAAAAAAACCACAGTCTCTCGCCTGGCATAGGGGAAGAATTAATAGATTTGTAGCGAATTCAATGCATTCCTTTATAGAAAAAACTGCTGAATGTCATAACAGCTGTAATAAGATGCTTACTTTTCTCGCCTCCGTTTCTTGTGTAGGGATGAATGAATGGTCCACGGCTGTGCTGAGCACTTGCTTGGCTGGCCATCAGGTGACAGATGAGGGAGCTAGATGACAATCCCAACAAGTAGCACTTTGTGTCTGCTCAGCCGTCGCCCTCGGCCCTCTTTGCTCCTCAGGCAACTCAAGTAATAGATCCTCTCTGCCTGCCAGCGCATGGCTTGAGGCAGAAGCAGATGTTTATCCTCTCTTGTTTCAGACTCCAATAAGTTCAGACTGCACCGCACCCAGGACAGCAGCCCCTTTCTGTCCTCTTTTCACACTCTCTCAGCTGAAGATCGGGTCAACACCCAGGGATTATTTTGTGAAGGTTTCCTAAGACAATAAATCTCTGCCTGGGAGGCGCTGAGACAACCGAAATATCTCGGTTGGTCACTGGGCCAATCCAACCCAGTGCATATCTGGGCCCCGCGGCTCACATGACTCAGGCAAGACTCACAGCTACCAGAATAGCTGTGGGTGCCCAGCCCTCCCTCCCTCCACCCCCCGGGCCAGGATCCAACTGCCATGGGCTGGACCTGGGGAGGGCTGCAGCCCTCAGGAGGCCCACAGCCCAACAGCTGGTCCGGGGCACCCAGAAGGGAAGCGCAAGGGCAATGCATCTGCACACTGGGGCCAAAATAGAGCCCTGCTTCTGCCAGAGCGGCTGGAGGGCTGGGAGCAGAGCCCATGCAAGGGCTTTATCATTTTCGACTTGTCCCCATTAAAAGCATGTACAGGGATTATCTCTGATTTTCACCTGAGTTTTCCAGGATCTAATTTCTACCAGGAATAGTAGATCTGGGCAGGTTATACAAGCTGATTTCTTACAGCTTTCCTTTCATTTTCTGTTTGTTTGTTTGTATCTCTGGTGGAGGTGTGCAGGAATCTCCCTCTGACACTTCTCTTTCCAGGTCAAACGCCCTCAGGATTTACAAAGTGACAGGGTAGGTGAATGCCAGCATTTTGCTGCCAGCAGACTTGAGGTAGAGGAGGATCCCACAGGACTGATAAATCTCATCTACTGCTGAAGCCAAAGGTAAAGTCTTTTTACTGCACTTTTTAAAATATTTATTTATGTGTTTTAGTGAAGTTTATCAAGGGGTGTAATCAAGGGGTGTTTGGGATCTAACTGAATCCCAGCACAGACCATGTATGCCACGCTGCTCCTCTGGGGAACACAAGCTGTCTTGGCAAAGAGGCTGATACTTGCTCATGCTCTGCTCTGTATGTGGGGGAGGATTCTAAAAATGTCATTCTTCATTGCTGCACACTTCTGTACATTTATCTCCTGCTTGAACCTACTTTCCATCATTGCATTAGAGACCATTAATCAGGATCATGTTAATAAAATCATCCTCCCTGGTATCGGAATGACACGTGTAGACACTAGATATGATGTAGGAAAGGGATGCTTTCTTTCTCAATGGTTTTGCCTGCATCTGTGTCAGCATCACTTTGAATACTTTCAGATATTGCTACCAAAGCTATGTAGCTGAGGCCAAGCTTCATTTTGCAGCTTTACCTGCTTTGCACACAGCAGAGGCCGGGTACCTTTGCTACCCGTTTAGCAGTCATGCACCAGGTGTGACACAGAGCTGACCAAATTGGCTTTCATCACAGGTGCAATGCAAATCCTGCACGAAGGTGTTCAGGTGCTAGCTGATGGTAGGGCACTGCCAAAGAGGCCAGAATTGATTTAACTGGGCCTGATTTAACACCCATGCCAGATAAGCAGCTCCTGTAATGGTATGAAGATTGTTTATGCAGTTTGCTCTCATACCTCCTCCAACTTCATGGCAAGCTGGCTAATGGAAACAGTAAGAATCATGATCTACATAAAGCTGTTTATTTGCCTGGAAATTTATTCTTGTTTATTTTCAGTTATAAATGAAACAAAGACAAACCCTTTCCAATCCCTTGCTCTGGAATGACAAAAAAAAACAGATTCTCAGTGACAAAATTAAGTTTCTCCCTGCTTCACTTTTTGGCAGTTAGCTTAGTCTAGCTTAGTCTAGCTCTCCTTTAATCAACAGACAAATTATCTTGCAGGCAGATTCTCAGATCTCCAGCATCTTTTGAGAAATTTTTAATATCCATTAGTGATAGAGCAGACAGTGGCTAAATAGCAATGAATCCGAGAAAGCAACCTAGCACTAGGTGGGACATAGTGAAACCATTATCTTACTTTTCACATTCATAATTTGGGGGATCAGATCTAATTTTTGACTCACAAGATGTTGCTTAAAATTAGGGAAACATTAGTGTTTAAGTGATATATGATTTTCTGAGAATAGATAATACATTTGTACTCATGAGCATCATTTAGGCTTTAAATTAGGTTTAGATTTCAGATTTAGAGTACATTCTCTGTTTAAATCATTGCTATTGTGCAGTAGATAGTCTGCAATAAAGGATATTCTGGGGATGCACTGCAAAAAATGTTGGCTTCCACTCTTTTTTTTCTTCATATAAAAGGCTGGAAAATGTTCTGAATTGCAGTGCTGTATTCCATTTAATCTTACAAGTAGGCCATCAGTTAGTAAACACTTCAATTACCATTGTAAATGTTCCCAATTATTTTTTGAGTAAAGGTTATATAAAGAGTTGTACAAGTAAAATTAGTATCATTAGTAACAAGTGGCTTGCTGCAAAATATTCATTACAAAAATCTACAGTGGAGGATTTCCAAGCTACACTTCATACCAGAAGGAAATCAGTGCAATCCAGAGTACAGCACAGCAAAAGGTTCAGCTGTTTAGCAACGTAATGCTTCAACACATACAGCAAAAGTGAGCTAAATGACTAATGGCATACAACGCTGTAGAATATAGGCTTTCCAGAAACTACTGCTGAGAAAGATTATATTGATTTAAGTTGTCCTGTAAAAATCACTGGGCTGGAGTTTGTACTTCATCCTCGAATAATCACGCACAATAGTATTTGGGTCATCCCATCTATTTAAATGCAAGGATGTTTGGACTGGGAAAGCGTTCTGTAGAAACAAAGTAGTGAGGGACATGAAAGAGAAATTTCCTTGCAGCTAAAAGCAATGTATGGTGAGATGGTGTCTATATATGAAAGCACAGGAGAAAGTCTGACATCTTGGGTTCAAGAATCAGAACAGGGATTCCAGCAAAAACTCACTGCATGAAGATGCCTGCTATGCCATGGTCGTGTGGAAGTTTTCTGTGGAAGAAGAGGGGAAAAGGAAGAAATGCTGTTGGCACACTTGAATTCAGTGATGCGGTGCCCAAGCGCTGGGCTAGCACTTACTACACTGATGTGAGAAAGTCAAAGTGCATCAAATGGTGAAAGGCAATATGAAATAAAAGCCCTTAGATCAGCTATATCTCATTTGTTTCTTTCCTTTTCGCAGGTTCCTTTTCACTTGCCTCCAACAAAGACAGAGGCAGATATAGCTCCTATTGCTCTCCTGCCTTATTAGAGGAGAGCTTCCCTGGGGAATTGGAAAAAAAAAAAAAAAAGAGTTGGGAAAGTTTTTAACCTGGGCTGTTGCCTCTGAGCATCTGCAGTGGGATGAGTCAGGCAATGCAGCTGCAGAATAATGAATATGATCGTTTTTTTCAACCAGCTTTTCAGAGCTGCTGTGCTAATGGCCTCTGCAGTGTTTCACAATGGAGGGCAGTTTTTACCTGCTGCCTGGAGTCTGTTTGTTTGATGTTTTGCATCCAGCCTTCACTGTTCCCTTTAAGGAGGCAGCAGTGCCTGTACTGCAGCTGGGTAAGGGAGACCTGAAGTTCCTTTCCCAAAGGACAAAGTCAAAGACTGTGATAGCCGCTGTGCAGTGAGGACAAGTGTGGATCTCATGGAATTGGGTTCCCAAAAATTGTATACTTGGTACCTGGGCAAAATAGGGATCTTCTGACTGTGTGACCAATAAGGGCAGAACAAGCGACTTCTGCTTATAGCTTGGTGTGTCCAGTCTATTGTGATGTGATTTCTGCACACCTAGAGATATATGTGCTAAGTACAAAATCATTATAGCTGTGAACCCTCAACTCAGGTCTAAGAAAATGATGAGTAAATGGGGACTGGCTCCCCATACTGTCCTGATGCATTTGCTTGTGATTAAAACTGGCATTTATTTTTATAGGGACAGAAATGCAAGTAAAAATAACATTGCTTTGGGACCACAGAGAAGGAAACAGCCTTCACGGTGTTTGCTGCAGAGCTCTTTCTGAAATAAAGGTGCTTTTGACACAAGTGGGTTGGGATTCAGCTCTTCCACCCTCTTCCAATTCCCTAATTCACATTTGAGCAAATGATTTTTGTTGCTTAGCAAAGTAAAGGTTGCAGCATAATCACCTTCTGTTAACACTGTTGGTTTATGAGATAATGAGAGCCTGGTGTCCACACTCAATTGATCACTGAAAATGTTTCTAGAATGTCTATTCCACTCCATTGTTATCATTAGCATCAGCAGCATGTAATTTGGTGACTTTAGATTCGGTTGCCTCCACAGTCTACAAGTCAAGCTTCACCGCTGGAACAGAAGGGACTGGAGCTGCACCTGTAATCCTATTTTATTTGCTCATAAACACCTGTGTTTGTTTCTTATCCACTTGAGAGGTAGGTAAGAGATGCCACCCAAGCAAGCCCTTATATTGGATGACGTGCACTTGGAATTAATTGCATATGCTGTAGGATGGATAATGAATGGCAAACCAACAAAGTCTATACAGGGTTTTT